ACATCACTGTTCTTGCTTGACATGATTCAGCATCATCGTTCAAGAAAGTGTGTGTGTGTGCACATGCCATAAAGTGTGTATAGAGATGGCTTTACCCTCTGATCCATTTTTATAATTCCAGCCCATCTTTTGAGATGGTCTCACTGAGTTTCCCAGGCTGACTTTGAACTTACTGTTGTACCTGGGAATGCCTTGAACTGATTCTCCTACCTTGCTCTCCTGATGTATCTATGACACAGACCTTCACTTTAGTTTATCAATAAAGGTTTTATCTGACATAAATTTACGCAGGAGAAAGTGTAGTAAGAAAATATTAGACATCTACAAAGTCATCTATTTTCAGGACTGTATGACAAGTGTATAAGAAAGATTCCATGGAAAGAATTATGTATTAGTTACTTTTCTCTTTATGCAGCCTAGGATTCAGCTGATGAAATCATGTTGCCCATATTTAAGGTGGGGTTTCTGCTCACATCAGTTAATATAGAAACCTTCTCACAATCCTTTCAGGTTAACACCAGTATTCAGCTGGTTCAGCAAGCCACTGTTAACTAATACCTTCACAAGTCCTCTTGACACATATACAGCAAGTGACTATCCACAGAGTTACCACCTTCTTGGCAGTTCATATTTGTACACATCAGATACCAACAAAGTGGTGTTTCTATGGACAGAGTAGATTACAAGTCCATTCTGAACCTTCTTTCATCATACCTTTTTAGTGGTAACTACATTCCCCACCTTCCCCAGTCAGGGTCTTAAGAGAGAGAGACAGACAGAGAGACAGAGACAGAGAGAGAGACTGGGGGGGGGCTGGGGATGCAGGTCAGTAGTAGCACTTGTCCAGTATGCTTGAAGACCTACTTTAGTTTAAACATTCCCACACTTGCTGGGAAACAGTCTAGTAAATAAGATTGTGGGGTTAATTATTCTTAGTATGACCATACATGCTTCAAAGTATGGATAAACAAGTTATTTTATTCCTCTAAGATAACTTTTTATCTAAGGCTGAACATATTCATTGGGCAAAAGTGAACACTGTCACACTCTAATGGTTTTCATGGGACTGGATAGAAGTATAAAGGAATCTAACCAGCAGAGCACTTGGTCTAGTATGGAACCTTCAGTGCTCAACAGAGGCGGGGTGCAGGGGAAGAGAGAGGAGAGAACACAGAGACACCATGACTATGGCACCTCTTATAAATGAAAACATTTATTATTATTTTAATTTTAAATAGCTTGTTTCACATGTCAATCCCAGTTCCCTCTCCCTCCCCCTCCTCCCGCATCCCCCCTCCATCCCCCCCCCAGCCTCCCACCCTATCGCCTCTTCTTTCCACATAGGGGATATCTAGAGTCTGTCATTTCACTCATGGCTGGGTCCAGGCACTCCCCTAAGAGTCCAGGCTGAGAAAGCATCCATCTTTGTGTTATGGACACACGAAGTCAGTTTGTATGCCAGAGTTAAACACTGATCCACTGCCCAGGGCCCCATAGGTTGCCCAGGCCTCCTCACTGACTCTCACATTCAGGGGGTCTGGATCAGTCCCATGCTGGCCTCCCAGCTGTCAGTCTGGGGTCCAAGAGCTCTCCCCCTGTTCAGATCAGAAAGGAAAACATTTAATTGGGCTTGTTTACAGGTTCAGAGGGTGGCAGAAGTGGTGCTGGAGAAGTAGCTGAGAGTTCTACATCTAGATTGGCAGACAGCAGGAAGAGATCTGTGCCACTAGGACTGTCTTAAAACCTCAAAACCCACCCCTAGTGACACACTTCCTCTAACAAGGTCACACCTTCTAGTAGTGCCACTCCCGTGAGTAGATGAGGGCTCTTGTCATTCAACCCACCGCATGCATTCCTACAATCCCAGCACTTGAGAGACTGAGATAGGATGTATAAATTTGAGGCTAACCTATGCTACATAGTGAACTACTGGACAGGACACCATATTGAAACCTGACTTTTCAGCAGAGTGTGCTGGCATACACCTGTAATCTCAGTGGTGAGGAAGCAGAGTAGAATGAGTTTGAGGCTAGCCTATACTATATAGTAAGATCCTGTCTCAAATAAATACACAAGCAAACAAAAAAACCCACAAAGTTAGGATTTGCAGTACTTTTATTTTCCAAACTTATTTTAAAAGTACATTAAACATCAGAAATAGAAATCTGGTCTAATGATTAACATAAGAACACTTATTATAAAATGTTTTGGAGATATACAATTTGCACACAGTAAGCTTCAAGAGAAAAATTAATGTATCCTGTAAATTAATCACATTCAACTGAATTCTCATTACTTTGATTTATAATAATTTAGCCCTTATGAGGAGACAAGTTATATATGTCTGTCTATGCCAATATGACAATTATACTGGTATACACACACATGTGTAGCTTATGAAGAAGTTTTATCTATTTAAAGAAAGGAGAGGAGCCAAGGAATCTAGCCCACTTTGTATTTCATGCAAATAAAATCAATAATTTCTTGTTGAACATAAAGAAACTGAACACTTTCTATGTACATGCTTTCTCTTTATTATATAATTTTTACTTCTGAAAATGGGCCCCATGCTGACCAAATAATTTCAAACACAAAGGTCACACAAGGAAACCTAACATTTAAAACTTTATAAGTAGTGACTTTTTATAACCTTTTACTAAGTCATATTTTAAATACCTGCTCCCTCAAAAGAAATGACGTTTATGAATGTAATTTCTCAAATATTTTAAAGATTTAATTTTATTTTACGTGTATGACTGTTTTTCCTGCATGTATGTCTGTGCATCATATGTAGGCAGTGCCCATGGAGGTCAGGAGAGGGCACTGGATCCCAGTGAACTGGGTTACAGATAGCCGTGAACTGCCATATGAGTGCTGAGAACTGAACCTGATTCCCTGGAAGAACAAGTGCTCTTTGCTTCTCTGTATTGTTTTGAAAGCTATCCTGGAATTCGTTCTGTAGATCAGGCTAGCCTGGAACTCACAGAGATCCACCTGTCTCTGCCTCCTGAGTGCTGGGACTAAAGGCATGCACCACCAACGCCAGGCTTGAACAAGTGCTCTTACTATCCAAGTCATCTCCCAAGTCCCAGAGACATATACCTTTAAAAGTGTGAATAATCTTGTTATTGATTACAAATTTGCTTGCTTTATCAAACTAAGTACTAAGTTTTCAATTAAGACAAAAGTCCAAGACAGCCAGGGCTACACAGAAAAATCCTATCATCTCAAAAAGAAAACAAAACAAATAAAAAAACATTTCCACAATTAAAAAAAAAAAGACAAACGTCTAATTGGTGTTGGGCAGTGGTGGCACACACCTTTAATTTCAGTACTCAGGAGGATCTCTAAGTTTAGGCCAACTTGGTCTAAAGAGCACTTTAGAGTTCCAGGACAGCCAAGGCTACACAAAGAAATACTGTCTCAGAAAAAACCAAAACAACCATCTAATTAGTAATTTGTCAAAAGTCTTCAAATGATTTTGGCAGAGGATATTAGATGTCTTAATTCTTTGCAGAAGAGAGGTATGTATACTGAATCTGTCTAGTGGGAATATTAGTGATAACCATGTTGTGTTGAATCTATAAAAACAGAGCTGAAACAGGTAGGAGTGATTTCCAAAAGAATATCCAGCTACCAAAATAAAGGAGAGTGGATATGATATAAAACTTAGCAAGAATAAATAAGAGAAAAGAGGGAGAAAGAGAAGGAGAGAACTGAGTAGGCCAGTTCCAGAAGATGAATTTGAAAACTTTGCCCTCACACTTAAATTTCTGAAACAGATCGGCTGGTTCTAGCTAAGGGGCTATTCTATCTCTCAGCATCTCCTGTGATCTTGGTCTTTGGGCAGAGCCTGGGACAGGGTGCTCTGAGCTTAGTGCCTTCTGTTCCTTGCACTTTTGAGCTTTTAATAGTTGGATTTAACAGTTTGTAAAGATACTCTGTTTTAGGTCTAATAGTACTCCAAAATTCTATGGAGCCGGGCAGTGGTGGCGCACATCTTTAGTCCCAGCACTCGGGAAGCAGAGGCAGGAGGATCTCAGTGAGTTCAAGACCAGCCCAGTCTACAGGAGGTAGTTCCAGGACAGCCTCCAAAGTCACAGAGAAACCCTGTCTCAAAAAACCAAAAAAAAAAAAAAAAAAAAAAAAAAAAGAGAGAGAGAGAGAAAAAGAAAAGTGCCAAAATTTTATGGAATTCAGACCCTAACTGCATGACCAAAATGTTGTCTTTTTTTTTTTAATATGACTTCACAGTTGTCCTCCTAGGATTCAGTGTATCTAATAAAATCAGTTTCAGGTGTAAGAATAACATAGTTGCTTGCTTCCATTTTAAGGTTAATGAGAGAATATAAAACAATCAGTTTTGGGCTACAGATGTAGTTACTGGTAGACTGGTTGCCTAACATGCATGTGGACCAAGGTTCAATCTCCAGCCCCATAAAAATAGAATAAGGAAAAAAAGCCAAAATCTAAAAACCTCCATCTGAAAATATTAATAGATCACCTTGAAAATTTTTTCAAGAACAATATTTAAACTAGAAAGGCTATTTCTGAATATCTATGTGAATACTGTCAGGTGACTATCTACTAAATTCTCCTCATACAGAAGGAAAGCCTACATCATCCCCCCCCCCATCTCTTTCTCTTGATAAATAAGGGTATCTTGCGAGAATGCATGATGGATGTGTGCACTGCCTTCCACAAACTGCTGAGACACACCATGTCTGCTCTCTCAGAACAGTGCCTCATACTATAGTGCAGTCCTCTATGTAGGATTCTGGGTTAAGGTCCTTCTGAAACAACAGTTAACAGGAAACTACCAAAAGCACTTTTTAAAGCTAGTCACTCAACTGACACAAAACAACAATGTGTATAGTAAAAAGTGACAAGAGTTACAACTGTGTTGTTAGGTAACTGTCTTATAAGAAAGATGAAGTGCCTCCCACTGGGTGAGAACTTTGGGTAAAGACAGAGGTACAAGTAACACAATTTCTCGTTTCTGCTTTGACAGTGAGTTTTTATTTAAATCAACTTGCCACCAAAAAGTATACTGTTTTCTATCTTAGTACTTCAAAGACTCAAATTCCATATTTTTATAAAAATAACACTTCAGAAAGGTCTCTTTTTTCAAACACCTTTTAAAAACGTGGCCAATACAAATCTAAAGACCCATAACACTGACTTAAAGGGTTGTCATCAGTAGGATTGTTCCTGGCATCTTCTTAGTAGTTCAGTACAAAAGATTGGGACACACATTAGAGTGAAAACTGAAATAAACTTATACATCAAATCTTAAAATGTCAAGAAACCATGAAGCACACCGGACACTAATAACTCAGACCAAAGAAAGTCTAATGGCCAGCTCTTTGACTGACTCTTCAAGTTTTGTTTTGCCACTGACCTTAAAATCTTTCAAAGTTTTGTTCCATCTTGGAAACCCTTCCCTCCTGATTCTCTGGCCTTGGAACTTTAAACAGAGGGGATGGGAATCTGCTTTGCCGACGTGCTGTCATACTCCTGCATCAGATCATTGGTAGTGTAATAGTGCATGGCAATGTACGAACTGGCAAATCCAAAAGAGTTTACTGGCTGTAACTTTCCCAGACTGCTCTCTTCCTGGGAAGGGCTGCTGTTATAGATGCTGTAGTATGGTTCAATCCGAGTGTTGATGGGCGTTGAGCTGCTCTGACCACAGTGCTGATGTCCAGCAGACACTTTGGGACTTACTACACTTTCCTTTGAGTGGCTTGGGCCACAAGCCTGGTCCACAAATTTCTTCTGTGGCTTTGGAGACAGCATGTAGGCAGAGTTTGTCTCATGATGGGAAGATTTATTTCTATTGATTTCAAGGTTCCCTTTACCCATGGCTCGAAGTCGAGTCTTCTGTTTGCAGCAGAGAAAGCCCAGGCCAATGTACTGGAGGCACCAGAGTACCTTCCTTCTCAACCCAGCACTGTTCCGGGAATATATAAAAGGATTCAATCCTGATTTGAAAAACATCAGAGTAAATCCAAATAGTTCAAACTGGTAAAGGACGAAGCTCCCATTGTGAGACAGAACCACCTGCCCGAGGGCAATCCCCAGAGGAAGACAGCACACCAGGACTGACAACACAATGATTACACAGGTGACCACTGCTTTGGAATCCTTGGCAGTAGAAAGGTTGATGGCTGATACCAGCTGGAGTCGATTGGCAGAGGGAATCTGGATCTGGTTGGGATTCTTAGTGTATCCATGAGTCTGAATGTGCTGTAGTTTGTTGTAATTCTGGTTCCTGTACAGAGCTGGCATAGTGCACTGGATAGGATCTCCACCTCTCTTCACAGAGGCCCCCATGAATGGCTGTGGTTTAGATGCATCAACTGTAATCACAGGGGGACACTTTTTGACTTGAGCGTTCTTCCGAAGGGTCTGAGCAATCATGATGTAAGAAACAGACACCACAGCAACACAGAAGGTAAAGTCAACAACATACAGGGACAGAATGGCTTTCCCTTCTCCGGCCATCAGACTGGACATGGGGAGACACAGGTGAGACTTACTGGTTCTCAGTGTAGCCAAGGTGGCAAGGGTAAAACTGGTGGTCCAGAGAAGCAGGGTGAGGAGCAAGATGCAGGAAAAGGAGGCAGTGCAACTAGGTTGCTTCCCTAACACCATTCGAAGCCGGTGCAGGGCTATTACAGCCACCATCTTGAGGGACATGATGGTGAAGCCTGAACTGGTAAGGTGGAAGGTGAAGCAGAAAGTATCTGGGATGCTACTGGCTGAGCTGAAGAATAGCACAAAGGTGAACATGGGGGCTGTAATCCCACAGATGAAGAGATCACAGAAAGACAGGTTCAGGATCATGAAATCAAAGTTGGTTCTGAACTTCCTGAAGGCTGGGTCAAAGAAAGACAAGAAGACAATAAAGTTGCCATAAGAGCCTAGACAGAAGATAATGGCAAGCAGAAAAGTGCAGGTGACCAATGTGGCCATGTGGATAAAATCTCGAAGATCCTCCCGGAGTGAAGTGTTGTTTCCTTCCTGCAAGGGAGGCATGTACAGCAAGGTGGCATTGGGCACATTCTGAAGGGGGACACTTGAGTTCATCTTCAGAGAAAGATGTCTCTTCCTTGTATTCTCAAAAAAAAAAAATCAACAGGAAGAGAGTCAGGACCTCAACTCACAGACGAGGGACATGTGCCAAAAGAGAGCCAAGGAAGATAAACCTGCACAAAAAAATTACCCAGAAACAGAAAAGGATTAGTGAGCATAACAATTGCATTCCACTTTACAAAAGCATTCAAATTCTTCATCTCTATTGATTTGAAAGGCATGCCACAAAGTCTAACACAGAAAGGACATCTCAAACCAGACACTGGAGACATACAGGAGCATGACTTCTCCACTGGAAGTCCATGATCTCTTTCTGGGTGGAGATACATCAGGGTAGTTGCAAGGACTACAGACAGGGACAAGGGGAACTGAATCTATCTCTCAGGGAGGAGCTGAGAAGGGATGAAGGGAGCTTTGGTGAGGAGGAGCCAGCTGAGTGAAAGCTGCTGGGCAGGGAGGAAAATGAACAGCTTGGGAAATAGAGAATAGGTTTCTGCAGCAGGACTGAGGCAAGCAACAGTATATGCTTGAAATACTAGCAGGAGGGTATTGTTCATACATAGTGTGGCCCTCATAATGCTCACACCAATCTTCACTGTCCATCCTCTCCCAAACAAGAATCCAGCAAGACAGATAACATTTAGTGCCCTGCTCTTGACAACTGGAGAACGTCTACTTTAGCCTAACATTGCAGGGATAGCCAATGGCACTGAGGAGGTCCAGAGCCTATATTAGGAATAGTTAACCACCACTTTGAGCTGGATCCCACAGGCTTCCAGGCGCCAACCATTTAGCTGTTGGATCGGGGGTGCAGATTGGGCCTAATCAATGAGGGATTACTGGGGCTCTGAGCAACAGCTATGGACTGGCTAGGACAGAAGTCTTTCAGCATTTGATCACAAGTACAGCCTTGGCAGTGAAAATCAGACAGATGAGTTCTGGGAGAGCCACTCTGCCCCTCATGGAGGCAGAAGCAGCCTCTGCTGCTACTGCAGTGGCCACAGACTGCAGAACACACATGCAGACACCAACTTTGCTGCTAAATAAGTTTTCTTTAAACTAATTCTATGGGAGATAAAGGTATAAATCTAGAAAAAAATTATCAATGATTAGTTACATAATAATAGATAGCTATTACTATTTTTAGACTGCATGCCTGTTTGTAAACAATTTTGATATTGTTACAGTGAAAATACAATGTTTCACTGTTGGTTAAAAAAATGTTCCTTGGAGTTAATTTATAAGAAGTGAGGAAGAAACATCCTATCTGAAAAAAAAAAGGGCAGGGAGAGCAGAGATACTAGAGGAGCAAGAATTTGGGACAGGGGAAGTATCAGAATGACAAACATAGCAGAGAAATAAAGGTAATTAAGTGGAACGATGCGAGTTACAAGACCCCAAGCTATGCATGTAGAAGATGAGATGATGAGGCACCAGCATTAATCGAGGGAAAGAAAGTAAAGAAAGAGGGGGACACGAAGTCTGGAGTGGTGGCACAGGCTGTAATCCCAGCTACTCAGGAGGCTGAGGACTGAGGCAGCAGGACTATAAGCTCAAAGCCAGCCTGAGCAACTCTGTATGACACTGTAGCAAAAAAGGAGAAAGAAAAGAAAGAAAGAAAGAAAGAAAGAAAGAAAGAAAGAAAGAAAGAAAGAAAGAAAGAAAGAAAGAAAGAAAGGCTGGGTGTTCTAGTTCAGTAGTAACCACTTGGCTGGCATGCATGAGGTCTTAGGTTCAGTCCTGTGAATAAGAAGATGGTTTGGAATTGCTGTGGGGGCAATATTGTGTAATTAATTAAAAATATATAGAACTTCACATTAGGAAATAACAGCAATACAATCTGTCAGCACAACTGTCAACGTCTATTTAGGAAGTGTTTATGATATGCTGGGAACTGTTCTCAGTGTTCCATGATACTGAATTTTCCCCAAACCTCAAAATAGTATCTGTATCTCCATTCTGAAGATGAGGAAACCCAGTTGGAAAAAATCACTCAGCAAGGTGGCAGAACTTCTATACAAACTAAACACTGCTTCTCAAAGACCATTCTTTAACTCTATCACACACACACACACACACACTCAAGAGAGGAATCCCTAGGTCAAAGCTAAATTACAACAGCTGTCATTTATTGCTATGCTCTCATACCTGAAACTTTATATATCAGACTTCACTCTCAAAACAATCCTATGAAGTATTAAGTAAAAGTTCTTGTAATACAAAACTTCAAAAACAATAAAAAACAGGAGAGAAAGTCAATCCAGAGCTCAGTACTAACTCTTTGGGACTTTGAGAGAAAATTAAGAACAAAAACAAAGATATAAGCTGGACAGGGTGACATATTCCTTTTACTGCCAGCACTCAGGAGGCAAAGGCAGGCAGATCTCTATTAGTTCATGGCCAACCTAGTCTACAAAGTGAGTTCCAGGGCAGCTAGGGCTGTGACACAGAGAATATATATACATACATGCATACATACATACATGCATGCATATACATCTCGTGCGTGTGTGTGTGTGTGTGTGTGTGTGTGTGTGTGTGTGTGTGTATTCAGTGTTTTGGAACAAAGTCAACAGTGGTTCACTATTCCTAAACATTCAATGTTATTTCCAATAAGTGGTATCAGAATGATTTTAAGCTATAATACCAGCTTTAAAATATTTTTATTGTATTTATCTATTTAGTGTGTGTATACTGTACTGTTATACCATGCTTACTTAGTTCTATGTCAGCTCAACACATCTAGGGTCATTTTGAAAGACAAAACCTCAGTTGAGATAACGCCCCCACCAGACTGGCCTGTGGGCAAACTTGTGGTACATTTTCTTCATTGATGATGTAGGCTCACTGTGGGTGATTTCTATAAGAAAACAGGCCGAGCAAGCCATGAAAAAATCAAGCCAGTACACAACTGTCCTCCACGGCATCTGCATCAGTTCCTGCTTTGAATTTCTGCCCTGACTTTCTTGTGTGATATACTACAAGTTATAAAATGAAATAAACCTTCTTCTCCCCCAAGTGGCTTTGGTCACAGTGTTTTATCATAGCAACAGAAACTCTAACTAAAACAGAAATGCATATGGAGTTCTAAGGCTAATTTGTGTAAACTGGGTATCTGCTTCCATCATTGGGTCCTCTCCGTTACCGGTGAGCCATCTCACCAGCCCAGAACACCACTCTTAAGTATATATATTAACCACAGAAGACAGGATGAGCAGAGTGTAGTAGCACACATCTGGGGAGGCTGAGCCAAGATGATCATGAATTCAAAGCCAGGCAGGATTGTACAGCACATTTCTAGTCTGGATTACATACATATAGTGAGACTTTTTCACAAAATTCACATGCATCTCGTTACAGTTGAGGGATGCTGAGGTAACTAGAAGAACCAGGAGTTCCAAACATATTGCATAGTGTCAACTCCTATTAAAATGCGGTGTGGCACAGGAACTTAATTCCAGCGCACAGGAGGCAGAAGCAGGCACATGTCTGTGAGTTTGAGACCAGTCTGATCTACATAGCAAGTTCCAGGCCAACCAAGGCTATACAGTGAGACTCTGTTGCAAAACAAGATGTTTAAAAGTTGGATGTGGTGTCACAAACCTGTAATTCCAAGCACTCACAAGGATGAGGTAAGAAGACCACCTCCCTGGAAGCCAGAATGGGATACATACTAAGACCCCTGTCTTAAAAAAAGTATGATGGGTTCCCAATACTGTGTTGTTTTAATTTTTGAAGCAAACGTTAGGACATTTATAAGCCTTACAAGTTAACTCATGACTTGGATTATTCCAATCTATCCCACCCTCAAGTAATGTCCTTTCTTCCTGGCAGGCATTTTCTGAGCCCAACCCTCACAGGAAACAAAGTTCTGTCCCATTTCCGCTGATTTGAATGCATCTGGGAAACATTCAGGGAGGCTAGATAATTCGCCCAAGGTCAGTGAGATATTTCAAATTCCCATTCTTTCTAAACAGCTGGACTACCCCCTTGAAGCCGCCAATAGCTGACAGGGTGGGAAGACCTGGGTCTCTGGTGGAGGGAGACAGCTGTAGAGCACAGTGGACTAAGGACCAAGGGAGTGGGAGACTACAGGTTTACCCCCATCAGTTATTGGCTATGGGTGGGGGCTCTCTAGAATTGAAGGAAAGACAGGCCTAGGTCGGCCCAGGAATGCTTGGACTCAGCTTTGTGGGGGTGGGCCATCCATTTTGTGCCTAGGAAGATTCCTGCCGGCTGCAGGCGAACACTGCCGTCCTGCCAGGCCAAACTCAGCTTGCTCCCCGCTCCCGCCTGCCTCTGGTCTGGGCCCTCGGCCTCTCACCTGCGGGCTGGCCACAGCGCCGCCCTTCCTCCTCCATGTCGCAGCCGCGATACCAGCTGCGCCCGGGGACCTGGATGCTGCCAGGCTAAAGGAATCGTCGCCATCGCCGCCTCCATCTCCATGCATCCCTGGAGCCTAGGCGAGCCTGGCAGAAGACTCAGTCACCAACCGAGCTCGGGGCGCAGCCCCTCCCTCCAACCCTGGCCGCCCCGCCTGCCCGCACCCTCCCCGCTGCCCGGATTGTGAAGTGCGCAGAACCATCCTCAGCCTCGTGGGCGTGCGCCAGGACCCTGTTTGCCTCACCGTGATACACAGCAAGGAAGGGATGCCAGACACAGTGCAACCCTAAGGTAATGCTTGCTTTAGTCGGCGACGGGGAGTCTGAGATGAGTGGGTCTCTCTACAGGCCTGAGGAAACTGACAGTGCCTACGGATAGCCTTCAGGCTGGCCTTCTTTCCTTTCTCACAGCTTGTTCAGGTCATTATAACAACTTAAATCAACTTCAATACGCGTATGTGTCCTAGAAGTGTAAGTCTGGGTGGGTGCATTGTAAAACAGAATACTGGAACTATTAAATTGTGTCGTGTGAAAATCTTGAAAAGTGATCCAGCTAGGCCTGTTTTGACAAACATCAACAAAAACATTAGACTTATAGCTTCTCATCCCCTAAAGTCCACACGTCTAAAGTAAACTCAATTTGGCTTTTAGTCGGAGTCATCAAATAACAAATACTCATAAGTTTGTTATTATGGGCACAAAATTTATCTACTTTACTCCTTCAGGATTCCAGCCTGGTTAATTAGGTTTCTGCTTTTCTAATCTCGTTTGATTTTTAGAAAGGATTTAAAAATGTCCCTTCTTCCAGCTGGTACTAGAAGTCAAAAACCTTGACTTCCATCCAGCTGAAATATTTTGTGGAACCATTGCTACTAACCCTCCCTCCATTTTCTGTTTTTTCTTTATAAATACAAACTAGTAACAAGTTTTGATGAAATTTAGTTCCCCATAATTTTTGCTCAGAAAGATGCTAGAAGAGTTTTGTGAAATATCAGAATTGTTTAGAAAAAGAATACTCAATAAAAACTCCCAACTAATTTCCACATAAATCATGTTCTACTCCCCAGACACCCGGCAATATAGCAGTTCTAAGATATGCTGTCAATAAGGCTAACACTGGACCCCAGACACAATGGAGGAAAACAAAAAGAGTAATTGGCAGTTACAGTGGAAATTCTGACCATAATTATATGTCTCTCCAAATAAATTAACTACTGCTTGCATAATTTCCATTTAGACATAAGTTGGACTAGAGTGGTACCTCACATTGAAAAGGACAAAAACGCCATTGTATAGGCCACTAAGAGAGGACGGCAGTTGGGGCACATGGTTCTAGAGCTATGTGGGTTACTCAGAAATACACAACAACGTGCACAAATATAGCAGTGAGGTTCATAAACTAGACTACAACACCCATATACTAAAAGACAAAATCTGCAAACAATCAGGGCTAACAATATATTAACATGTGAAGGCTATCACTCTGCATAACACCAGCATTCCAGCACAAACCAACTGACATGACATTAACATGTCCATTTGGGGAAAGCACGTGTCAAGGCCAATAAAATATTCACTGGGCAGCGGCAAGCAACTAGCTCTCCACTTAAATCTTATTCCTTGGATACCCTGACATAAACTGTAAAGTGTGGGGGTGTTAAGACAGGCACTGCAGTATATTCAGAAGTATAGAAAGTGGAAAGCTACTTTAATATTCAACAGTGGAGCAGTACTCAAAACATAAGATCTACAAAGGCACTCCACTCAACTGCTGGGGTTGGATTCATGGACTCTGCTGTGCTAGGCAAGCCTTTGACTGCTGAACTAACTACACTCTAGTCCCTCAGCCACATTAACAGTGAAGAAAATATCCTTTAAATATGATCTGCAAAGTCATCCTTTTCCAAAGGATCCCTTCAGAAACTCAAGATTAGATCTTACAAACCCCTACATTTTGCTTTCCTTGCTCACCAGAGCTCACAGAAACCTATGCCCTTTCCAGTCTAACCAACAATGGCTTTCTACTACTGCTTGCCTCTCAGCTTGTATCTTGTTGACATAGTACTTGCTCCATCCTTAATGTATCACATATTCTAAAAGCTGTATTAGATAGCATCAGCCATCCAGTTCTTTTCTCTATCCAACTTGAGACCACTTGTAAAAAGTCATGCAATGCTAAAAGATTTAGTTTCAAAACTTACAGTATAATCTGGGGGAAATGTCAAACTAATAAGCAACAATCCTGACACTGTAGCTAGCAGGGAGCATGCTGGGTACTCAGATTAAGGGACTCTGCTTTTAGGTCCAGCAGAGTCTAGATCTGGCTTTTCATCAGGTACAAATCACTCATAGACAAAATCAATAAGGAGTGTGTTTTTTTCTGGAATTTTAGTCTTATTCTGTAGTCTTCTTGCTTAGGATCCAGAATGTTTTGATTATTTGTAGGTGCCATGCTGGCACTTTAAAAAGATGTTGGTGAAGCCTGAATTCCATCCAGCAAAACTTTAACTAAGGAACATACTGACTACCAGGAATATATTTCTTTAAATTCCCACTTAGGAGCTAAAGCGTATTTTTATATCTTATATTTTAATTTTCCACAACAAAACTAATAAACAAATAAAATAGGAAAGAGAAAGAAAAGCCTGAAGTGGGCAATAATTCAAAGTCTCACTACTTAAAGGGTGGTCTTAGAGAATCACCCATTTAGGTGATGACAGAAAAGTTCACACCTGGCTGGGCGTTGGTGGCACACACCTTTAGACCCAGCACTCAGGAGGCAGAGGCAGGTGGATCTCTGTGAGTTTGAGACCAGCCTGGTCTACAAGAGCTAGTCCCAGGACAGCCTCCAAAGCCACAGAGAAACCCTGTCTCAAAATAAAAAAAAAAAAAAAGAAGAAGAAGAAGAGGAAGGAGAAGGAGAAGGAGAAGGAGAAGGAGAAGGAGAAGGAGAAGGAGAAGGAGAAGAAGAAGAAGAAGAAGAAGAAGAAGAAGAAGAAGAAGAAGAAGAAGAAGAAGAAGAAGAAGAAGAAGAAGAAGAAGAAGAAGAAGAAGAAGAAGAACTATTAAATGTGGCAATCACTAGTCACATGTGGCTAGCATGCACATAAAACATGCCTAGTGAGCCTGACTCCTGCACTTAACAGGACAGAGTTAGGTAATTCATTCTGGCCAAAGGGAAGAAAATCACAGATCCAAACCTAAGAAGGCAAATAACCCACAAAAGTTGCTGCCTAAAAAACCGTCTTCTCTTAATGAAGACAGAAGTCAGGCACCAAAAACAATCTATTTTATTGGGTTTTAAACTAGTTACACAATTGCAATCGTCAGTTAGGCACTACTCTATACAGGGATTATGTCCGTGTATGCTGACACTTCAATATTCTACTCAGACCATTGCTGTGCTTAAATTGGGAAGCTCATCATATAAATACTAAAAAGTATACTGTAGTGTTCCTTTAAGGGTGTGTCACAAGATGACATTCATTAACTTATGAATTATTCCAACTAAAAGATACCCTGAACTTTTAAAGGTTGTCACAGGCAAACATGTTATCATTTAGAGATACACACAAAAAGTACATAAAAATCCAGATATTTTAATATTAAATAATCCTACATTGCAGCTTTTGTAACATGAAATGATAAAGAAAATAATTTAAAAACACACACTAAAAAATGGTATTCTGTAGGTACAAAAACCCCAAGTTGCTATAGTAAAAAGTTGTGTGTGAATTCTTACAAACCACACAATAGTTGTGTTAAGGGCTGCATCTGTACAAAGTCTTGCCAATGCTATCTCTATATTTACACAACCTTTTACATCTATGTAACACACATACCAAGTTTTATTAGTTTCCGTGATTCTGTAGGCAGACAGGAATGCAGGCAGAGGCGGAGAGAAGGAAGAGGGAAAGGCAGGGATGGGGGGCAGAAGAGGGAGGGAGAGAGGGGGAAGAGATATTAAAAGAAAATTTCCTTAAACACAGCAATTATCCTACAATTATCCATTTATATGAGGTGCAACATATTTCAAGGTGAGGTGCAAAACAGTATTTGTGAAGACTAGAGGGTAAAAAGCAACCAGCCAACGTGTTTATTGATGTTGTTTTTATTTTTAAAATCACACATTGTATACACATACAAATCAGTCTAAAATTTATTCACCAAACCCCCAGTTTTTCAGCAATTGGCTCTTATTCAGCACCAAAAACTCCAGTCTGTGGGGACACAGATGAAGACGTCTGCAATGTGGTCAGACAATCTGTCAGGTCATAGGTTAATTCTGAGACTAGCCCACTTTGATCCTTTTCTCTTCGTGGCTCTCCAGACACCAGATGCGTGGTCCATGGCCTACTACCATTAAACCCAACAGCCTTTGAGGAAGGGTTCAAAACAATGTGAGATGAATGAAATGACAGGATCTACATTACGATGACTATTCTCTCCATTCCAAGGAAACTGTTTTGTTTTTTTAACAAGTTTCTAGACTGTTTGGTCATGATGCTATGATCATACTGGATTATTTCTAGTCTGAGACTTTGTGACTTTGTCATATGTCTCAAAGAAAAAGTGATCAGTATTCTGGGAACACTTCAGGACAAGTTAGGAAATCAAATGGCAGCTAGGAACCTGTGAACAAAGACTATGAGGCCAAACGCCAAAGTCACTAAAATGATGAGATCTCAACGGAGGCTGAGTTGTGAGACCTGCAGAGAGTCACCACAGATGATACCTGAGGATCTGGAATTTTTGATGAGTTGAGCCCCAAATCAGGACTAGTCATCTGCATTAAGGAGGGGAAAAAAATTATGTTAGGTAACAAAACACTCAGTTGTAAAATCCCACCATGTAGATTTTCTTCATTTCCCCCGACCCTTGCCTATACAGACTTCCTGTCCCCCACCTTACAGAGGGTAAAAAGCACTTATGAATTTAGATGACTTGTGCTCAGTGAGGAATACCTTTAATACCTGTACTCCAGAAGAGGGAGAGGAAGAGTGAGTTTGAGGCCACCTGATTAACATAGTAAATTCTAGGATAGCTGGGGTGGGGTGGAGAAACTAAAAAGACAAAAAGCAACTAATCCAGATGATGGACTAGAGAGACAGCTCAAAAGTTAACAGCATTTCTATCTGTTCCCAGCAACTAACACTTACAATCACCAACTCAGTTCCCTCTTCTGGCCTCCACATGTGCACACATACACATACACATTAAAAAAATAATCCAGATGAAGTGTTCTCATGACTATAGAACCCAGCGTTCCCAGTATAACCCCAAATGTCCCAC